AAGCATATAGGTAAAGATTTTTATTTAATACTCTATCACTTGGATAAATTAGCATTTGTTTCTGTGTAGCCTAGTTTTAACTGTCAGAATACGTAAATAGATTTATACAGGTAGTTTACTGGTTTTTTTGTATTTATACTAGAAAAAGAAAGTCTTTATTAAATGTCAGAAGAAATTAAGATTAAATGTGATTCTACCCAACTTTATAATGTATCTTGGGGAACGTGAAAGGGTTTCCTTTGAATAGTTACATGAAATGCATTCTTACTTGGTGTTAATTTTATCACTGACAACCATTTGTCCTTTAGGAATACATTTCTGAAAGCTGGTGTAAAGAACCACAGTTTCACTAATAAGGATTGACAAGGACTGTTTTGAAAGAACTGGTTAAGTGTAATAGGGAACATGTAGGCTGACTGCAGGTGAGCACATACTTTGGAGGTCTAGGTTAGGAGTCCTGGAACCATCAACAGGAAGGGATAGGTCCTGGTGAATAGCTTTCCAATAAGCATCAGTCTCTAATGGTATTCATTCCTAAATCTTTAATTGATTTTGAATTGCAATTTTATATGATGTGTTCTATTTGTTAGTAGGAGAGATAGGTGTTCTAGAGATTCCCATGAACAGGCAAACCTTTTTATAAGCATAGGTACTGAGATTCAGTGTTTAAGCACTTATCTTTAACACTTGCTTCTCTCTCTCTAGGAGGGGCTATCTATAGGCAGCCTATGTGATTGAGGATAGATCAGCAGCAGGAAGCAAGAAATATTAGAAATCAAGAATCCTGAATTCCCAAATAAGGAAGGTTTCCTGTTCTTACATTTAAATATGGGTTTGTCTGAACTGGGAATTTACAACGCTTCAGAATACTAGGGTATGTTTTACTGAAATCATTAGGAAGATTATTTTTTCTATCAAAATTTCTTCCTTAACTGATATAACCTTAGTACAGGACATTCACAGTAAAATGTATGCTCTCTGTTTTAATACACGTTACACTGTAAAGCAGTGTGTAGCTGTACTGTAAAGTCAAATTATCTTAGACTACTTTAATTATGAAACTAGTTAAATTAGATACTTTAAAAATTATTTAAATGAAAGCCATTAATTTAAACAGGTGAATAATTGAAGGGGGTTTTGTATATAAAGAAATAGAAAATTTGAGATAATTTTCTTCAAAACTAAAATCACTTATTTTAAACAGAATAAGTATACTAGTTAAAATGTTTCAATATTAGTTTTAAGTATGACCTTTTAATACCTCACAACTTAGAAATTTAATCAGTTATTCTAGTGAAATAAACTCTACTTTGATAACTAAAGTTAAAATATCTTTTGAGATTTTTCTGGATGGATATCTGCTCAGTATATGGGTGAGGTCTCCTTGGGAATGACTTAAAATTAGGCTAATCCAACCCATTTTTTTTTTAAGCCTATTTGCAAAAATTTTTCTTTGACTGGTAAGGGGATCATAACCCTCGGCATGGTGTTGTCTGCACCATGCTCAGCCAGTGAGTGCACTGGCCATCCCCATATAGGATCCGAACCTGCAGCCTCAGCGCTACCAGTGCCACCCTCTCCTGAGAGTGCCACACTCTCCTGAGGGAGCCACGGGGCTGGCCCTTGCAAAAATTTTCCTATTAAAGCTATATGATCACCACATTATATGTAATTTGATTCTTTGGTACTTATTAATGAACTTTGGTGTGTGTTAAAGTAGTCTTATAATTTTCTTACAGTATACATTAACAAAAAAAAATCAAAGATGCATCTGATTTTTTAAAATCTGTTTTGATTTCTTTTTCATTGAATTCTTAGTCACTTGAAGTATGTTAAGGAGATAACTCAGGATAACTGAATTCCTTTTTTGTGTCCCCTTTGAAATGCTTTTCTAACCTGTCTTTTAAGGTCAGAAATAGATAATAGCATTGTTTCTTAGCCATAGTAAAGATATTTTGCTACCACAGGTGGCTTGTTTTCTGACCTATGCTTTCCTTAACTGAGGAAGATAACTTGGTTTCTTTTTATTTCTGTTTGCTTTCTTTTTGTTTTTGTAATAACAGTGGAACCCTTTCTTCAAGTGAAACTTTAGACAAATCCAAGGCAATTGTGGTTAAGGAAAAAAAGAATGAAAGTCTTGCTCAGAACCCCATTATTTGAAACAGATCAAAATGTAATGGCTCAGGTTAAAACTGCAATATTGGAAACTGTAAAGGAAAGAATGTCATTTACCTGATGTCAACGGAGGAAATTTAATACAGAAAAAAATGAGTGTTTACTTTCAAATTTTTGAAAGATTTGATGCATCTGACATAGAGTAAATTTCTTGAACACAGTGGCTTTCTTTGGATCTTAGTTTCACAAATTGAAATAGCCAGAATAATAAAATAAAATACTTTAATTTCCATATGTGTCATGAAGTTTATGAATTCCAATTAAAAATTATTAAGAACTCATGTCTCTCACATGGGTATATATATCATATTGCAAATTGTCTTTTTATTAATTAACCAAGTTTTTTTGTTAGTGTAGTTGAGACAGTTGATATTTATAAGACCTTACATAATATTTAATAGATGCCACACATTCTTCTAAAAACTATTCAGTTAATTCCCATAAAAACCTTAGAGGTAAGGTCTGTTATTCCCATTTTCATAAATGAGGTAACTGAAGCACAGACAGGCTATGTAACTTGCTCAAGTTTATGCAGAAGACATGATATGAAAGTAGACAGTAAGTCCAGAGCCTCTGCACATATCCTAATAGTTTTTTACAAAAACATTGAAGGAAACAACTTTGCTTTTATTACTGTTTAATGTTTTTATGACTGTTTATCTAAATTTACCTTTAGGAATAAAAATACATTTTGAAACTTTGGTAAAATAGGAAGCACTTGAAAGATTTTACTTTTAAATATTCATTTAAATTATAAATGTAGTATTAATATAATCTCTAACCTAAGAAGTTTCATACAGTAATGCTAATGGGATAAACAGTAATCACACAGATAGTTATGATGTTGAGTTCTTTGAAACAGTCTGTTCTACCTGTACTTTTATAAGCATATCTTGATGTGTAATAAAGCCCAGAAAGGCAAAGATCACATTTTTTCACTTAGGAATAATATAATTTATCTAGATTTCATTAGTATCTTTGGTCGTCTAGACTATTGCTATTAAATTGTTAAAAATCCTGTCTTGGGTGTTAATTATATCACCTTTTGGTGGTTTAAGAGTTTCGTATTACCAGCAAAACTCTTAATCGTAGTTGATGTGTATGAATTTTGAAAGGACAGGAACTATACATCAAAATAAATAACATTGATTTATAATCAGTGATTNAAAATACATTTTGAAACTTTGGTAAAATAGGAAGCACTTGAAAGATTTTACTTTTAAATATTCATTTAAATTATAAATGTAGTATTAATATAATCTCTAACCTAAGAAGTTTCATACAGTAATGCTAATGGGATAAACAGTAATCACACAGATAGTTATGATGTTGAGTTCTTTGAAACAGTCTGTTCTACCTGTACTTTTATAAGCATATCTTGATGTGTAATAAAGCCCAGAAAGGCAAAGATCACATTTTTTCACTTAGGAATAATATAATTTATCTAGATTTCATTAGTATCTTTGGTCGTCTAGACTATTGCTATTAAATTGTTAAAAATCCTGTCTTGGGTGTTAATTATATCACCTTTTGGTGGTTTATGAGTTTCGTATTACCAGCAAAACTCTTAATCGTAGTTGATGTGTATGAATTTTGAAAGGACAGGAAATATACATCAAAATAAATAACATTGATTTATAATCAGTGATTGAAGGACCAATTTTCTTAAAAAATAAAGTTTACCTATAATTCTGTTAGAAAAAGACTAGCAAGATAATTTTAAAAAGTTATGGGCCGGCCCGGTGGGCACACTGGAGAAGTGCACTGCTTGGGAGCGCGGCAGTGCTCCCGCCAAGGATTCGGATCCCATGTGGAGACCGGTTCCCGCTCACTGGCTGAGCGCGGTGCGGGCGCAACACCGAGGGTTGCAATCCCGTTACCGGTCAGTAAAAAAAGACAAAAAGGAAAAAAAAAACAATAATAATAATAAAAAAGTTAGGCAAAGAGCATGAATAGACAGTTTAAAGAAAGGGAACATTGAATGATCCCTTAAAAATATGAAAATATACTCACCCTTACTCATATAAAAGGAAATATAAACTAAAACTATTATGACATACCATGCTGTTAAAAATAGGGCAGGTCCGAATTTATATGAATCAATCTGAGATATATAACTAAGAGGAAAAAAACAGAAATCACTTCAGCATATGAATTAACTATAGTATATAATAAAAAGATACACATATATGTCATTGAATATATGCAAATGTACATGAATAGAATACATGCAAAAGGATATAAAAGAAACTACCTCTGGAGAGGTCATCTAGGTGGCTTGAGGGGACAAGTGGCTGAATACTTTATTTTCTTCATATCTTTTAAATATTTTTAATGCTGGCACAATTGCCTATTCAAAATAATTAATTTGGGGGGAAAATATTGTCATCCAATATTAAAATCTGTAAGGGACCTAGCTAAGCCATTCCTTAGAGTTGTCTGAATTTAGCATTAACAGCCAGCTTTACATCACAGAGCTGCTGATTTCAGCCCAGCTTATCTTATCATTATACCAGTAGTTCTCAACTGGGCAGCACGTCTTCATGGGATCTTAATAAAAGAGATCTTATCTCTGTATTATGTACAGAGATATATAATCTAACATACAGTAGGTGTTCAGTAAATGTTTGAATGAATGATACAAATTTAAGGTATTTGTTTGTGGCATGATACAGGCTGAGAGTATTTTATTTGCTTCACCTTTGAAAGAAGAAAAAATATTTTTTTATTCCCATTATGATCTAATAAGTGTATTTAATATGGTTTAATTTTGTCCTTTCTAAGGAAACATTTGTAAACATACAATTTGTTAATTATTTTTTCAGACACTGGCTTCATGTCCTATTGACCGAAAACCTTTTCAGGCAGTGTTTAAATTCAGTGCATTGGAAGGTTGTGTTAAGGTAAGTCTCAAATTTTATTTTGCAGCATGAAATATGTAAAGTTAATTGAGGCTGTTTTGCTTTGATAGATTTCCAGTTTGTGTGTATTTGTAAATGATCAACTTTAGGTTTAACATGTAATTGAGCATGACTAGCTCAGACCTTTCTACAAAGATTACTGAAATTTTGAATTTTGAAATTCTCTCTCTCTCTCTCTCATCTCTATCTATCTATCTAATCTATCTTATCTATCTATCTATCTATCTATCTATCTATCTATCTATCTATCTATCTATCTATCTAATCATGTGATGCCATTAATGGGAGAAACACTGTTTCCAGGTAGCACTATTAGTCTATGACAGCTTGGTTACCACCTGTAAGTAGGAAAGGGGATGGAAGCAATGTACAACTATTTAAGCATTAGTCATTCTCAGCGTAGGTGTTTATAATTTGTTTTGATATGTTTTACCAGATGAGTCTTCATGTAAGGTGCAAACAATTCAAAGAAAATGGCATGTAAAAAATGATTTGCTCTTTTGTAATTGTGTATCTCTATGCCATCTATGCAAATTAGTATATCTTAGAGAAAAGATATAACATGTAAGTATAACAATAGAAATTAAAATGTGGCTTCTTGGAAAGACATATTCCCTGTTTTTTAGACATCTATCTAATGTTTCTAAAGATTAATTAGCATGAACTAGCTTCTGAAGATGTTTTCTGTGACATTTTGTTCTTTTGCTTGGAATAAAAATGTATATATATTTAATAGAGTTTGTATTTTACTTAAAAGTTTTGTATAGTGATAATCTAATTTTATTTAACTTGAAGTTTATTTCTTATGAGATATCTTCCACACTCTTCTAATGTCTTCCTTCAGCCTTAATTTCTTTTGAATCTTCACTTTATTATCTTTTTCCCTTTACTGCTGAATTTCTTGAATGAGATATCTCCATTTTCTCAATTCTTACTCACTTTTCAACTCGCATTAAGTATTTATTTACCTTTATCATCTTATTTTACTAAAGCTGTCCTCGCTAAGATCTAGAGTAATCTTACTTCCAAATTCCATAGTCTGTTTTCTGCATGGAATGCTGTTGACTACCCTCAACACTTCCTTTGGCTTCTAGGCTATTCTTCTCTTATGGGTATGTACGCGGGGTCTTCAAAAAGTTCATGGAAAGATTTGTATTATCTTTTAATTCTGTTTTCCACGAACTTCTTTTTTTGTGGGGGGGGTGGGTGGCTGACAGGTATGGGGATCCTAATCATAAACTTTTTGAAGTATACTCACATGTATGTATGTATGTGTGTATTTGTTTTACCTATCTTTTACAGTCTTCTTTGTCATCTCTTTACCTTCCTTTTCTTAATCAGTGGGCCTGCTCAGGGGATCTTCAATTCTCTGGGTATACTTTCTCCCTAAGTCTTCTCAGTTACTTTGTTAGCTTTAAGCACTACTTATATTTGGATGGCTTCTGAAATTTGGTCATTAGTCCAGATCTCTTTCCTGACAACCATACCTTATTTCCAACCATTTGTTGCACATCTCCATCGAGAATATCAAAGAAATCTAAATATTAGCAAATCCCAAACTCATCTTATTCCCTGCCCTCTTCTCAGCCCTAGTTGTTAATAGAATCACAACCCCAGCCATCCAGATCAGAAACTTTTGGGAATTTTCCATTTTTCTCTCCTCGTTTTTGCTTATTTCTTCTGCTCAGTGTCTTAAGTTTGTTCCTTCTTCATCCCACTACTGTTGCCTCTTTGTAGGCACTCGTGCTATTACCTCGACCAGTGATGTCCAATGGTATGATCTAAGCCACTATGTAATTTAGAATTTTTAGCAGGCACATTAAAATCTATTTCACCTATTTCTTTTTACTCTTTTAAATATATATATTAAATATTTGATTTAATTAAACATATCTAATATTATTTCAACATGTAATGATTTAAAAGAATTATTACTTAGAGATTTTACATTTTTTTTAAAAATTGTACTGTCTTTGAAATGCTGTATATATTATGCTTAAAGCACATCTCAGTGCTGACAAGCCACATTCCAAGCAGTCAGTAGCCACATTGGCTCGTGACTATCGTCTTGGACAATGTAGTTCTACACTACACTACTAGACTATTGTAAGAGCTTTTGTTCTGGTTTCCCGGTTTTTATAGTCTCCTCTTAGCTGATTCATTCTTCAAAGCACTGTCAAATTATCTTCCTTGATAAATAACACCAGGGTCAAGGGTTCAGATGCCTGTACTGGCCAGCCACAAAAACAAACAAAAAAAGTTATCTTCGTACAGCACAAATTTGATCATCTCATTCACTTGCATGAAAAACCCCACTTACACTCTGATACCTATAGAGTTACTTTCTTATTTAAGGATGTTTACAGTCTGGTCCAAACACATTTCATCAACTTCATGTCTTGTTATTCTTTTCTTTCCTATCTACATTGGCTTCTCACTGTTTCTTATTACTCTGTGTTCTTTCTGCCATCTAGAATATTTTTTCCTTTGACAAATTTCCACTCATTCTTCAAGACCAATTTACAAAGTATCTGTCTACTTATTAACATCTTCTCTGACATCCTCAAATACAGTTAATTTCTCAGTCATATGTGTGTACACAAATCTGTGCTCAATCTCTGTGTGAGCACTTAATCTATTTATATGCCAGTCTCACTATTTTGTTTCCTAAGAGCTTAGCACACTTACTAAGCTTATGGTTTAGCACGCTTGAATGAATAAGCATATATGTATTTGGACTATACTTATTCAGACAATTCTGCTTCTATGATTTTTTTTTTTTAATCACATCAGGGGAGAATTTGTGATGTTGGATTATTGCTCTAAAGAGATGATTTTGCTTTTCTCATAGGTTCAAGTAAAAAGACAATTGAGAGAAACAAAAGACAAGAAACATGAAAGCCCTTTTAAGGAACAGCTCTCCTGTCATGAAAATTCTAAAAGCTGTATAAGGTTAGCGATTAACTTTAGAAGTGGAATCTAAATGAGTAGAACCAGAAGTTAACTAGTAAAAGGAGTATTCTTTGTTTAAAAAATGAAGTGGTGTTTTAAATGTATTTAATTACTTCTTTGAAAGCACACACTTGATAATTTAAGGAAGGACCAGCTGAAATCTGAGAATATAATTTAAGCTCTGTCTTTGGTGAAAAGTTAGTTTTTTCACTGTTTTTGTTTCTTCTGTTTTTAATGTTTTTTCCTAATGTGTTTTAGACTAAAACTTTTGTAAAATAAAAATGTTGCAGTGCTATAAAATTTCTATTGAAACTTCTGAGTGCTTACTCTCATTTTTATACTTGTCACAAACCAGTAAAAGTTAATAGATAAGTTCCAGTGCTCAGACCACTCTTTTAATAGTACTGGACAAAAAGTAACTAATGATATAGCACAATGTTCTTCATGAGACTGAAACTACTTATTACCTTTCACATTTTGCTTCCTTGTGTTGTAGTAAGCACTTGCTACCTACTATAACAAGTGTTTATGTTTTAAATGTTTTTTAAACATACTTGAATTTTTTCTTAATTGCTATTGTTAAAACCATTGTCCTATTTTAACATAACTGCCTAGAAATACAGTGCTTAGTACTTGAGTTTAATAGCTATTTAACATATTTCTTTAACTAAATTGAATATGAGTGCTATAGTAGAAATTAATTTTTTAATTAATGCTTAAAGTAACTTGTTCTAATACATTTAAAACGTAAGGCTATTTTGATCTGAAATGTATTTAGAGCTGTCCAAAAGTTGTATTTTTATGTCAGCATATTGTCAAATTTGAAATTAAATCTATAGTTCCTTACATCTTATCAGAATACTAATTTCCTAAGGGAGTAAAGTTCAGCTGGCCAGTTAGCCCAGTTGGTTAGAGCGCAGTGTTATAACACCAAGATCAAGAGTTCAGATCCCTGTACCAACCAGCTGCCAAAAAAAAAAGAGAGAGAGTAAATTTATTTACTTACTAAAACAATTGACAATAGTCACTGAGGTTTATTGAACCTCTCACTAATTTGTAACACTATGCTCCTTAGATCTTAACTTTTGGGTAGTTTTAGACTTAGAAAATGCAAAGAAGGCTACAGGTTCCTTCTGCCAGGAAAGTACATGTTAACAGATACAAAACTTTATATCTGATTTTAAGGTACTCGTGGAATATCCACTCCGAGAGCCCACCTATAAGCCCCAGAGTTAATAACTGCATTAGAGCAAATTTTATAACTTATTTCTGAATTAGCTTTGTTTTTTGTATTTATGTTTGCATAGTAGATAGTAGCATATTTTTCCCAGGCATAGTTAAGAAATACGTTTTGGAGTTCCAGTCAAGATGGCGGAATAGACGGTCCCCAGCTTCACTCTCTCACACAAATCAACCAATTTACAACTATAAAAATGTAACAACAGCCAAGCTGGGGCCACTGGAGCTTAAGGGAGGAGGAGGAGAGACCTATGGAGTTAATGAAGGGGGAGAAGCCACAATGGAAGAAAAACCTGCTTGCAACATTTTGTTCCGCAGCCGCTTTAAGGCTGGAACTGCTGAGAGCATGGAGAAGGAGCCGGCAGAAGCTGCAGCTGTGCCCTTTGGATGGAGTTGCTTGGAGGCGGCAGGGGAGAAGAGGGCCTTGGTGGCCCCCAGGACAGCAAGCCCACTAATAGGATTCCTGTGGACCAACACAGGAGTGAGGAGCCAGAACAGCTGAAAAAGAGGAGCCATTCAGAGGCTCGTGAGTCATCGCAAGGGACCAGCACAGGGCCTGTCCCATGGGAAGTGTTTGGAGCACGGCGATGGGGGAGACGGGCCCACCAGGAAAACACTGGGACACAGCAAGGACAGCCAATCCGCCCCGCAATCAGTGCAGGACCACTCAGAGGAGACTGGTTGGGAATGCAGAATTGCATGGGGTGCAGTTTGATGAAAAGACTCAGGACCAGATCAGAGTTTCTACATAACCCAGGTGCACCGAATCTCTGGAGAGCTGGAAGTACCTATAAGGTCAACCATTAAATCGTGAGCTGCACAAAATGTCTTCCCTAGGGAAACAGCAGCAAAGCAGCAATTTAGCTCAGCCACAGAGCTCAAGTACTAGTTCCCACAGGAAGTTCTCTCGGTTTAGAAGTAAGCAAAGGATAAAAAATTAGTTCCAGCCCAGGCACACCACCAGTACCTTGGGGACCCACCCGGGGGCCTGGAGCATGGGGCCTGGGGCATGGATCCAGGGATTGGACCCCCTGCCCACAAACGGGTACACCACCAGCACCAAGGAGCATGCCAAAAACATCACCTCCATGTGGGTGGCCCACCACCACACAGTACCGGTTTAGAAGTAAGCAAAGGATAAAAAATTAGTTCCAGCCCAGGCACACCACCAGTACCTTGGGGACCCACCCGGTGGCCTGGAGCATGGGGCCTGGGGCATGGATCCAGGGATCGGACCCCCTGCCCACAAACGGGTACACCGCCAGCACCAAGGAGCATGCCAAAAACATCACCTCCATGTGGGTGGCCCACCACCACACAGTAACCATGGCTGCTGCAAAAGTGGCTTGATGTCACAACCACCACGCAGATGGTTTGCCAGCCACTGGGGTGCATTGACACAAGGAGAGTCACCAGCAGAGACCAAAGAAAAGAATAGGATGTCTCTCTCCACAAAGCTCATTCCAGAGTGACAGAAGAAGCATCTTCTCTACGATAATATTGGGGGACCTAAACATACCTTTCAGCATTGGACAGATCATCTAAGGCAACAAATCAACAGAATAACCATTACTCTTTCAGAGGGAAAGAAGAAATCTAGGGTTATCAGTGGTAGGAGGGGGGGAGGGACAGGGGGATAAGGAGAGATTGGACAAGGGGCATAAAGAATAAGTACAATTTGTAATAATATACATACTAGTAATATTGATTTGATCAACATATGTCAACATTGAATCCTCAAAATATGTATAATCAATTATGATTCAGTTTTAAAAAATGCCTTTTTATAGGTTCATTCTTGATACAACTCCTGTTATTGGCTGTGACAATGTCATGGATGTGTATTTTTATGCTCCTTCAAAATCAGCCAATTCTCTTGACTCTTGCTGTGGGTGCAGTGGTCATTGTTGAATGGCCTGTAAGGCTTGTTTTTATTTGAGTCTAACATAGCTAAGGTAGTCCACGTTTGACTGCTTTTTCTCAGAGATTTCTCGTAGGGGGTGGTGTAAGGAAATAACAGGTGCAAAATAATAATTAGCTTTTGCCCACCAAGTTATACCCTTAATGATATCTCCCAAGGTGGAAAATCTCTGTCAGCTGTTAAGTATTTATGGTATACTTTTTTCAAGTTTTTTGGATGTTTTTAGCATTTCTGTCATTCAATATTTTGTTTACTGCATATGCCTGGTCTTTCCAGCATGCAGACAAGATCCATTCAGTTTTGCCTTTCTCTTCTAAAGCAGTAAAACCCCGACATCCCTCTTTCTTATACTTTCTAATAGTTCCAAGTAAGGGATCGCACTCAGTGGTATTTTGTTTCTTGGTAGTGAACCTCCATTTAAGTCATTGGAGTGGAGAATGGCAACTGAGTGAGGACAGACAACTAGTCACGCTGTCTTTGCTAGAATTTTCTATTAGCTCTTTAAAAAAAAGTGTTATCTGCTTACCTGTATTCTACATGGCCCAGTAGCTAGCCAGTTATGATCAGCCAATAAGATTGTTTTTTGCTGCTGCTGTTGTTTTTTAAATAAAGGAAAATGTCTTTATTCTTAGGATTTGCATGTTTAGGTATTTAGGGGTGTCATGACTTTATTTCAGGAAAAATATAAATAGATACACATGGATACATGTATATGGAGAGAGATGAGAGAGTGAAAGACATAGAAAGACAGAGTCAGAGACACAAAGAGAGAGACAGAGAGAGACAAAGGGAGGAAGGGTGGGGGTAGAGACTGCCACTGCAGCAGTCCACGTGAACAGCTCATGTCATTCACTGCACTAATCTTTCAACTTTTTTGGGGTGGGTGGCTGATTCAGGGATCTGAACCAGTGATCTTGGTGTTACAAGGCTGCGCTCTAACCAGCTGAGCTAACCAGCCCAACTTTTCTGTAGGGTTGAATTGTTTCAAAATAAGATGTTATGGGGAGAGGAGAAAGAATCCTTACCTTTGGAAATACATACTGACATCACTGTGGTCGAAATTTTTGCTAGGCTAGAGGTCCAGGCCTCTGCACAAAACCATACTGACCATGAGGTGACAAGTTTGAAGCTGGGTGGTGGGATGGGGGGAGCTCAGCACACCGCTCTGCATCCTCTTCTCCAGATCTGAGGTTTTTCATAATAAATAGAAAAAGGAAGGAAGGGAGGAAGAAGGAAAGAAGGGAAGTGAGAAAGGAAGGAAGGAAGACAAGATTATGGTTTAAAGACTGAGATTATACAAATCATTATATATTAAAATCTAGCTTGACATTGTAATATCTTGTAGGAGTTTGTGAGAATATTACTTAAATCGTTTACTAGATTTTCAGGGTAGTTAATAGATTTCATTTTGATGGGCAATTCTTTTTTACCTCTTCACAGAAAAAAAGTCATCATAAGAGAAGATCTATTAAGTGCAAAATTTTATGACTTGAAGATGATACATGGTAAGTGACTTTTTGCTTGTGTATTCTACCTTTGTTTTTTAATTTAATGATTGTGCCAGAGTTCTCATTAGTAACATTTTGCTTTGGAAAACAGTTGAGTTGGGAGCTCTGTACATTGTGTTAAGTCTTACATAAATTTTGCTTTCGTGGAGTCATACTATTCCCTGCGCTTCTTTTCTTATTGCTCAGTTTGGAGGGAGGGGTGTGTGTGTGTGTTGGGAGAAAAAAGTGTTTCTCAGTTACTTGATGTTTAGCAACCTACATAGTGGTCTTATTCTACTCATTAGTGCAGAAGTCTTTTGGGGAGATGAGATAAAATACCTTGTAGGCCAGTAAGTGTAAGCAATAGCAAGGGAATTCCGTGACAGCAAGAAACTAATTCACAGTTCCCAGAGGCAGTTGTGGTTTGGCCTCTAGCCACGCTTTCTAATTTGAAACTTTGGAAATGAAGCACCTCTAACATATTTATCTGCGTGAGTAGTTAAATATTTCTGTCTTTTCTTCTTGTTTGGTGCATGATTCTTTGACACAGGAAGGCTTTGCTGCAGGGCCTAAACAAAATGGCACCATCCATATAATACTTTGTTACTACTCCTTGGGGTCCAGGCAGTTTATTGTTCCAAAGAACACTTTATTATAAGCTGTTTCTAAGCAAGGAAGTGGGTATTTATTTTTCAGCCTTGATTACAGTGAATTTTTATTTATAGATAGTACCAATGAATTAATGAGTTATGAATTTATGAATTCATTGTTTTTAAATCTAAATAACTATTTTTTTATACATTATGAATTCAGTTGTTTTTTGTTTTGTTTTTTGACTGGAATTAACGTGATCTCTCAGGTTAGATTTACAGATCAACAAATGTTCTGCCTTTGATAATTTACTAATAAAGTAAAATTGCCTTTAAAGTTATTTGTTACACAGTATACAGATCTAACAGTCCAAGTTCTCTTCCTCCATCCTGGGGATCTAAACTTGGGCTTCATGGACTCCCAAGGAACCAGTGGATACAAGTCAGGGGGTCTGTGAACTTGGATGGGAAAGAATATACTTATTTTCATTAATCGAAATTAGGATTTTCTTCTATTATGCTTGAAGGCCAAAAAAAAAAAACCACACATTATTGACTACACCTACCCATTATCACTAATAAAATCACAGATTTTTCATATCTCATTACAACTGGAATATTGATTTTGCTCAGCTCTACTTCGGAATTACAGAAGTTATTAGCCCTGCCGCTAGATACTGTTATTTAGTGTGTTAATAAAGAAGTACATATTTTTATGCCGCACACAAAAAACAAAGCTGTTTGTTTTGCTCTCTGGATTTTAGTGATTAAAAAAGCATTTTTTTTAATTTACTTATTTTTTATTAGTGCATAGTTGATTGTACATATCTATATAATATAACATTGAATATCAATACCTGTGTGCAATATGTGATGTTCAAATCAGGATAATTAGTATACTCTTCATTATACAATATAATCAATTTTCATGGCACTTTACCCATTCCTCCCCCACCCCCTTTTCTCCCCCACATTTTTCTTTTGTTAAAGAACTTTAGATATGAAAACAGTCTTTGTTTTCCTATGTCATTGCTGTAGATTACCATTCTTTTTTATGGATAGCCTTTGCTTGACAACTCTAGAATCTGATATAAAATTTGCTATTGAGGAAGATTAAGTAATGTTGCAGATTTTCTCTAGATAATTTGGCCCACTCTCACTATGTTAATTGTGGTTTTAAGACCACAGTAATTTTCTTTAAGTATATATATCCTACCTGGGCTTATTTTTAGAGAGTGTAACATAGGCAAATCTTAAATCCATAGTGCTTCATTATAGTGAAGCCCATTTATAAGAATCTGTGATTCATTCTGATTTGAGATTTTGTTTTACTATTTAGAATGTGAAAAACAGGTTTTTGTGGACATCCTAGGCCAATTTAAGTATGGATGGCTAATTTAAAATTATAATTTTAATTCTTTAAAAAAAACCTGTTTCTGCCAGAAGGTTAATGTAGTTCGATTTGATTGTGGTGATTATTTCACTGTGTATAATGTATATCAAAACATTAAGTAGTGTACCTTAAATGTATGTAATTTTTGTTTGTCAGTTATATCTTAATAAAGATGGGGGGGATTCTTTTTTGGATATGTAAAGTATCTACAACCAAGTAGACATGCTCTGAAGAAATGTGGATGTTTGCATGTTGTATACAAATAAGATTTGTTCATCTTCAGGTTATTTTAGTGGTGATGAGTTTCTGTTGATATATGTTTATTTGTTCTTGGCTAAAACCATTTTAGGAAAATTAACCTGAGAAAGTTATTCCAAAAGGATGGGAAGCCAAATAACCTGTTAGAAAGTTTCTAAAGTTTTCAAAAGTGGAGGTAATAAGCTAACTCATTTCTGAGGTTATGTTGCATTTTTGTCTTTACGATTTATTTAACATGTTCCTTATTTGATCAGTACTGAGGATCCTACTTTTTTACATTTGAACATCTCTGAAATGAGATTCGGTCTTATTTGTCCTGTATGAGCACTCTTGACCAAGCGGTAGCATAGTTGTCACTGCCTGCAAATGTATGAACATACAAAGTACTGTCATTAAATTTGGAGAATGGATAGTAGAAGCTTGGAAGAAAATCCCTAGATAATTCTGGCGTTCTCTTACCCCCTAGGCCTGCAATTGAGAATGGAGGTATTTGGAGAAGTTAATCAAATGTGTGCATATGTTCCCCAGAGAGTCAAAAGTTGGCAAACTCTACATAATTAATTACAGAACTGGTGTGAGTCCACCACCGTAGTTAGTTCTTTTATGGATTTTCTGAAGAAATCACTTAGTTCATGATAGTGTAGAGTATGATATTGTGTGAAAAAACATTGATAAACTCAGGAGTTGAAAAGTAATTTGAAATACTTGGATTCTACACATAAAGAAGTTTTAAGAATACCTTAACCATTATGTATCATACCCATTTTCATTTATGATTTGATTTTAAGATAGAAAAAAACTATGTCTAGGTCTCTCTTAATTTCCTAGAGCTGATATAACAAATGACCACAAATGTGGTGACTTGAAACAATGGAAATTTATTCTCTCACTGTTCTGGGGGCTAGATGTCTGAATGCAAGGTGTTGGCAAGCCCATGCTTCCTTCTGAAGGCTTTAGGAAGAGCCCGTTCTGTTTTCTTCCTAACTTCTGGTGACACCTGGCTATCCTTGGCATTTCTTGATTTGTAGCTGCATCACTCCAATCTCTGTCTCAATCTTCACTTGGCCTTCTTCTCTATGTTTCGTTGTGTATCCTTTTCTGTCTCTTAATAAGGACACTTACTGGATTTAGGGTCCACCCTAATCCAGTATGATCTCATATCAATTTTATATTAATTGGTTTTTAAAAACCTTATTTCCAAATTAGGCCATATTCTGAGGTTCTAGGCTCATGAATTTGGGGAGTGGGAACACTGTTCAACCCACGTCAGTGTCTAAAAGAGCTTTTACAACAATTATAAAATAAACCTTCTAAGTGATAGAAACCACTGTGACCTATCCCTGGTGTCCAGATTGTGTTCTCTCAATACAAGTCGAGTATCCCTTATCTGAAATGTTTGGGGCCAGAAGTATTTTGGATTTCAGATATTTTTGGATTTGGAAGCATTTGCAGTTACTTTAATCGTTTGAGCATCCTAAAATCCAAAATGCTCCAATGATCATTTCCCTTGAGTGTCATGTCAGCGCTCAAAAAGTTTTGTTGGATTTTGGAGCATATTGGATTTTGGATTTGCAAATTTAGGATGCTCAACCTGTACTATTTCCCAGTAAAAGAACCAGGATTCCTTGAAAAAAATGGCTGATTCCAGATTTGAGGTAGTAATTAAATAAGATATGTCTAGAACATTTTTTCTAACAGAAAACAAGAAAGCTATAAAAGACTGCTAGGATTATTACAAAAAAACTCAGGAAAAAGCTTAATTGGGCTCTTTCTAACCAAAAGTGGGGCAATTTGAGCATCAAGAAGGATACTAATAACTACAGTTATTGAAACCTGTCAAATATATTTAAATCTGTGGGTTCACCATGATACTTTATAAATAAATAAATAAAAATAAATTGGTCTCCTTTGGAGGAACCAGTAAGATTCATTTTGAAAACGGGTAAATAAAAGGAAAAATCCAAGCATCTATCTTGCCTTTCCTAAATAAACTATAGGATAATTGAACAGGTGATAAAGGGAATTTTTAAAGATGTATATCAGCAAATAAAGAAGGAATTAAAGATTTTGAATATTGGTATTTTGTAAACTAATGAATATTTGCAATGACTGTTAGCATCACAAAAGGAGAGACAGACAACCAGACATTAAACACTTCCTGTTGGAAGTAAATAACACCAGATATGCAGTAGTGTGCTCCCTACCCCTCAATCAAACCTGCACCTCATTGAGAGAGCTAACTGGTGATCTACAGGATATACAGGAGCAGAAATAGAAATGCATGTTAAATGACAAGGAAATGCAATCAGCAAAATTCAGACCACAAGGCAAATGACCTAATTTCTTCAGTCAAGAAATTCTAAGGAGTTTGAAAAGTAGGGGAGGAGAACCTGTAGATTAAAAGAGACTAAGAAACATTCAACCAATTTGGGTTTCTTTTGTTTTACCTGTGATAATGGTATTAAGGATACATTTTCCCCAAAGAGCACTTATCTTTTAGAGTTATATATTGAATATCCATGATATGATGTCCAGGATTTGCTTCAAAATGATCTTGAGAAGGTAATAGATAAGTTAAAATTGGTTATGAATTAACAATTATGGAGGTTGGGATATGGGTATATGGGTTTTTATTTTTATGTCCTCTCTGCTTTGTTTGAAATTTCCTATAATTTAAAAAAGTACTGTGAAAATTTAATTGGCCCGATCCCCATACCAGCCAGATGCCGAAAACAAAAAAGAAAAAAAAACAAAATTTAATTGGCCATTTCCTCCTC